TAGCAAGTTAAATTTGTCTCCAGACAGCCCCTTTTGCTGCATAAATAAGAGCTCTTTCTCTAACTGTTAATTTTTATCTGCTTCTCTCCAGCTGGAAAGCATTTGCGAAGATGCAGCCATTACAGATGGGAAACACATTGTGTTGAATAACTTCCTTCCAGCCCTTCGGTCCGGGGGGTGGTCTGATATTGGAGGACGGCAAGACATGGAGGACACTCACATTTGTATTCCAGACTTGGCTATGAATTTTGGTAACAGTATACATGGAAAGGAGGCTGTCTCCTTCTATGGTGTAAGTTCTTTAACCTGTATATTTGACATCTGTCTTTTTTGCCTATTTACAACTAAACGATTATTATGTACTTCTAAAAATATTCCCGATGTCATTTGTTGGAAATTATCACTAAAAGAGAGAATTTAAGGCCATTTTGTTCAGATTCATATCTCTTTGCTGTTTGTTCATATGGCAGGTGTTTGATGGACATGGTGGGAAAGGTGCTGCAGAATTTGTACGTGACCACTTACCAAGAATCATTGTCAAGGATGCCGATTTTCCATTGGAACTTGAGAAAGTGGTCCCAAGATCTTTTGTGGAGACTGACACTGCCTTTGCAAGATCTTGCTCGATTGATTCTACTCTGTCCTCTGGCACGACTGCACTCACTGCAATGATATTTGGCCAGTAAACTTCTCCGGTCCTAAATTTCATTTTTTATGATAGCAGTTTCTTGGTGTGTGTTGAATTGAAAATCTTGATGTCCAATATGTCACGGTGTACAAATATACAGCATTATAGTTTTGGTCTTGTCATTTCTTCTTATATAATGCATTTGCTGAAAATGTTGACAACTCTAGCTCGGGGTTGAAAGGTTTAGTTATTTTTTGTACCTTATGTTGTGCAATTTTGAACAGATCATTACTTGTAGCAAATGTGGGAGATTGTAGGGCTGTATTATCTCGGTGTGGATTGGCAATAGAGATGTCAAAGGATCACAGACCTTGTTGTGTTAATGAAAGGGCGCGTATTGAATCACTTGGGGGATTCATTGATGAAGAAGGATATTTGAACGGGCAGTTAGGTGTGACTCGGGCATTAGGAAACTGGCATATCAAAGGATTGGATGGGGAAAACGTCGGACCATTAATTGCTGAGCCAGAACTTAAATTGATGACCCTGGTGAAAGAAGACGAGTTCTTGATAATCGGCAGTGATGGAATATGGGAAATTTTTAGAAGCCAAAATGCAGTGGACTTCGCTAGGAGGAGACTACAAGAACACAATAATGTGAAATTGTGCTGCAAAGATATTGTAAATGAAGCTAAAAAGCGAGGGGCTACGGACAACTTGACAGTTGTGATGGTTTGTTTTCACTCCGAGCCACCACCTCCTATTCGAAGGTGCATTTCTGCTGAGGCTCTTCGGAACCTTAAATTTCTGCTTCAAGGTTAGGTATTTTTCTCATCATTTTTTATCCTGGGGTGGCCGAATCAGCACCATCTACAGTAATTCTTATAATGATGATGATGATAACTGGATGTTGTCTTAAAAGTGTCCTGTGAATAAGTCATATGGTAGACACATTTTTTCCTTTCGTAATGCTTGATTTTCGTGTCAAAGTGGATGAGTTGACCCAAAATAAAGCATGAGGCTATGCTGTTGTTGTAAGGTACACAAAAGTATTATTAATATATAATTACATTCCTGAAACCTCAACTTCAGAATTTGAACACCCAATGTAAAGAAGGCATTCTTGTAATAGGCATAGTTAAATACTCATTCCTGGGCAACTCGCTCGCTATTTATACTGGTGAAGAATTTTCTCAGAATACGTTCGTCACTACGATACAGATGTTGTAGCTTCTGCTGTTACATTATGTGACTGTTTGGCACCTACATATCGATAGCATGGTCATATTACTTTTGTGTGCGTGTTAGATCAGAGATCATTTTTATGCTAGTGAAAAGCGTGGCCACACCTCTTTTCCTATATTTTGAATCTACGAAAGATAATATTTTCATTTTCTTGGACTTTCTCTTGCTAAAAGAAGACCTAATTCACCTAAATTGCCGAACCACGTCCAGCAGCAAGCTGTAAAATGTATGGTAATGAGTCATTCTTTGATTACTCCAGAATTTTTAAACTCGAAAGAGATTACATCACCTCGTCTAAAAGAGGGGACTACTATATCTATTAAATTTATCTACAATACGCCTCTTCACCGATAAGATCAATCTTCTCTAGCGAATTTGAATTTCGCTAGGTGATTGTTCGGAAAAATTCACCGGTAATACACCTGGATCATCCACATACAAAAAACTAAGTTACAAACTCTTAAAAATCAATTTTTAACGACTCATTTACATATCTCCATGTCAATATTTTGAACATAAAACCAGAAAATATTTACCAAATCCAACAAATACACTTGGTCCACGTGTACAACCAAATGTAGAGTTAATTGTTACAAATTAAAATTTGTCCATTGTCACGCTTTCATCACTAATTTGAATTGTTTTCAAACGGTCATTCAACTTACACAAGTTGCACTCCATCGATCACCCACGAATTTTTCGTTGTCTGTGAACCATACATGTACAAACGAAATTTGATGTGGCATGTTGGAGTGAAAATTGCCAAATAAACATTGCGCAACTATCAAGTTTGAAAGAGTTAATTGTTTTATTACACAATGAACTTTGTCCATCATCACTCATTGTACTTTGAATTACTTTCAAATGGTCATTGAACACAAGTAGCACTCCATTCATCACCCACTAAGTTACCGTTGCCTTCTTTTTGATTCACAATCTTCTAGCACAGAACAAGTATCTAAATGTAAATCACATTGCCAGAAATCATTTTAATTCTATTCTTGAATACAAGAAAAAGAAATAAATCAAAATACAAAGCATTATACAAATTTAAATGCACAAGTCTACGAAGAAACATTTAAGATTCAAGAATTCACATCACATTCGAGATGTCACTACAAATATAAAATATAAAATAAAATTGTTAAAATTCTTGGGCATTTTCAGAGGATCGTTTTTTATGTTTAAAAAAATAGTGAAATTAACTGTGTGTGACTGAAGATTATGAATATTATACAATTTAAGTTTCGTTGTTTTCAATAGTCAAGAAAATGCATAATAATGAGAACTGACCTGAATTTCACAATTTACTTATTTGGTTAAGTCGACTTTGATCTACTGCTCAAACATTTCTGTTGAGATTTTTCAAACTTTTGAAATTAAAATACGATTTTCAGTTAACATCAGTATATAGTTCATACAGCTATTTGAATGTAATTATAGGACACAATAAGTGAAAACAGTCGACTAATCAAATACATGACGAAGATGCAGTTGTTGTTCCCTCACGAGTGCTACTTCACAAATCAAATCATGTCTAATCTATACTCATCTCAACCAAGTTACGTATCCTATGTCACATGCATCATTCTCGATCAAACTTCCTTAAATAAAATAAATAATAATCTGAACCAAACGTGTGACTTCATTGTAGCCAACGACCACCTTTAAAATCATCTTAATTTAAAGAAAATTAATCATGTCAACATGATTCAAACTGGTACATCTACCATACATAATCTCCCAAAAAATATACAGAATAAAGACGTTAAGGCATTATACTCCTGTTATGAAACTCCCTCTGATGAGGTATCAGATACTTGCTATGTCCTACAAGGTTGTGAATCGAAAATAAGGCAACGGTAACTTCGTAGCAGATGGATGGAGTACACCTTGTACATGTTTAGTGACCATTTGAAAGAAAGCAATCTGAAGTGAGCAAAGTATGGCTACGGGCAATGTTCAATGTGTATTGAAACAATTAACCATTTTCGACATGGCAGTCAAGCAGTGCTTATTTGACAATTTAACTCCGTTAACATGCCACATTGGATTCCATCTGTCCACGTAGGCTTCCCAAGCAATGGTAACTTCGTGGGTGATGGATGGAGTGCAATTTCAGGGACCACTTGAAAACAATTCAAAGTATAGCGAGTAAAGCTTAACGATGGACAAAGTTCATTGTGTAATGAAACTAATAACTCAACAAACGTACGTCTATGTTCCTCATTGTGGGAGTGGGAGGAAGAAGAGACTCTGGAGTTGAAGACAGAGGAGAGGGTGCTTTGATGGTGGACCCCACCCGAGGAGTTGGGTTATTACTTGGCCTGCCACTGCCCGAACCCATTGGTATCAATCCCTTCCGCTTTAACTGATAAAATTCCAACTCCTGAATGTACTTGGAACCAAATGATCCAAAACAGTTACAACTGCAGATATGTCCGTTGACCTCTCGGTTCCGAACCCCAAAAATAATTGAAGCTAATTAAAAGAAAAAGGAAATAAAAAGACCTCTAGCAACTGCAGAAACCAATGAACTGAGAAATATACACCTTAACAACTTAATACAAATAAGCAACTGTATTCACACTTCAGCTTTTGAAGCTCCTTCTCCCATGAATGCACTAAAGCCAAATTTATGCTGAAAGGGAAGGAAACAAACTAACAGAACCTATCGAACTAGTCATGGATGAAGAACTCAAATTAAATCCATACAAAGCTTTCAGCTTAATTAAGACATAAATATTTTTCTCAAATTCCAAAAAATTATGTAGTACACTTTTAAATACCAACAGTACGACAGCAAAAGTAATATCAGATCCAACAAAAGAAATGTAAGAAACGACATATTAAAAATGGCAATGTCTTTATTCAATAAAATGTATAACATGAATGATGCTGAAATGAGGAAGTCAATATCGATGTATGGCCACACTAGAACATATAAAATAAGAAATACGAATATAAACCAAGGCAGGCATGGGATATGGCATCTAAAAGGAAAAAATGATTTATGTGTATTCTAGATTTTACAACAGGCTCAATCAATACAAGCTACAAGCTCAATGAAGTACAAATAGTAAATGAAAAATAGCAGTAGAAAAGGTGAATTGTGCTGAAATAAATGTTTCCGACCTATCTCCTGCAAGCTAGTATACAAAATGATTTCCTAATATGACAAAAAAAAAAAAAAATAATAATAATACATGTGAGGATGGAACCCAGACAAGTTCCAGTTTGATGTATAGACTAATACTCTTCCTAATAGTAAAAAATAGCAGCAGCGGAATTTTTATCTCTCATGGATCATCCATTTTTATCCTATCAGCAACGAAAAAGTCGTTCTATAACAAGATGTAAATGTGTGAGCAAAAAGGTCTTGACGAAGTCCATTATTAATGGGTGAGTATGCTGCACCAAAGCCATTTTCCATCATTCAGCTTTTCTTTAACCTCCTTTTTCACAACATGAATCAACAGGAACCCCGCAAAGGATATTGAAATAATAAGCATGAAAAATACACTGTTCCATCCTCTAGTAGAAATATATCCAACCAAAAGAGGTCCAAGAGCAGCACCTACAGAACCAGTACCATCTATAATTGCAGTGACAGTAGCTAATGCACGAGAATTTCCTTTTATCAAGGTTTTTGTACCAAGATCAGTTGCAACTGCTGTGGTAATTAGGGAATACGGTCCATTTACCAGTAAACCAGAAGCAAACATTAATGCAATATTGACGAACATTGACACACTGCCATATATTCGATACAAAAGAAGAGCTGGAATTGAGAGAAACAAAAATATAACTGAAGTGACAGCTCGAGCATCAATCATATCGGATATGAATCCTGCCAAAATCCCACCGAAGACTCCTCCAATATCGAAAATTGTTGAGAGGATCCCAGCAGTTTTATGTGACAGATGCACACCTGCAACAGCTACAAATACAACAAACACAGAAGAATGATAAGTAACTAATATCCACACCAACCAAAGGAACATAAAACACTATCATGCAGATTAAGACAGACACACGGGCATATTGTTCCATATACATGTGGGCATAGACAACCATAGTAATGAAAGGAGTGCATTATGCAAGCCATTTGTGCAACTATAAATTTATTAGGCTATTCATAGTTCCTGAAACCTGAGAATTGGTCCTTCGACAGTCGTTCTGATAATTTTAAACTTCAAGTTTCTATTCTCTTCCCAGTAAAGTGCCATGTAAATTACAGTTGAACCATAAAATTAAAATGTAGATCCATGCCATTTCACTCCGAGACACATGAAGCCAAGATGAATTTTACATAATCTAAATAGGTGATCTCATTTGTTGCCGTCCAAGTATAAATTAGTTCCTAATTGGATCAAAAACCCAAATTCGAAATCTACAACCAATGAAAAAAAGAAAAAAAGAATAACTACCAGTATGTCTTATGTAGAACGGCAGCCAATATAAAAATGTATATGCCACGAGCTTAGAGAAGAACAAGCAGAATGCAAAAGATGCCACGTCAGGTAACCTCCATGCCTCAAGGAATCCTATGGCAACTGAACTCTCCACATCCTCATATTCCATTGATTCCTCTGTATCATTTATTTCTGAATCCACTAGAGCCACTCCTTCAACACTCATCTCAACCTCCTCCCCTGATAACTCAAACCCAATGTTTTCTGGATTCACGACAAGAAACAAGTAAATAAGAAAAGCCACCATCACAATGAAAATACCAGGCAGCATAAAGGACCATCCCCATCCAAACCCCAATACCGAGGAAGCAATTAGAGACCCCATGATGTTTCCCACGGAGGTATGAGAATTCCATACCCCCATGATCAACCCTCGTTTCGCCTTCCCAAACCAGTTGCCCACCACTGCCACCACGCAAGGCCACCCCACAGACTGAAACAACCCACACAGAACCTGTATGGTAACATAAAACCAGAGAGAATGCAAATCAAGAAAATACCCCAACCCAAAAAATATTACAAAAATGCCACTACCCAGCATCCCGATTGTCAAGAAAATCCTCAAATCAATGGTATCACCTATGTGGCCAGAGAAATACATGCCGATGGAATAGGCCAATAGAAACGAGAGATCAAGCTCCCCAAGACGGTGAGGTCCATCAGGTCCATTGAACGGTGCCCATCCTGTGTCGTTCTGAAGTGGATTTCTGGAGAACTGAAATGAACCCTTATCAGAATTTGATGCCGTGGTACCATTGCTTATGGTGGCATTGAGGAATTCGGGGGTGGGAGAGGTGAGCACAGATTTAACAATGCTGGGGGGTTTACGAGAGGCATGGAAGGCCGCGTAGGCGGTGAAGGTCAGAATAAGTACTAGGAATCGGTGAAATTTGAGGGTCTTGTTTGGAGGGTTGAGGCACGGGAAGATCAGCCCAGGTGGTGGATCTAGGGTTAGGGTTTTGAGTTGCATCATTTCACAATCGTGATGTACAATAGAATGTGTGGATTGGATCTATATAAGTAAAAACTATGAGTGAATGATATTTACAGAGATTGAATATACAAAAGAAGAAGACGGTGGGATCGAACAGGGACAAGAGGGATCTGGGGTTTTATTTGTCTGAATATTTTTTTCCTTCTTTCTTCCCCCCTTCTCAGAGACTACTGGTCAAACTTTTCATTAGGGGGTTGTTTGGCAACCCATTAAAATTTTAATACATCTTTCTCTCTTTTTCCAATTATATATTTTTTCAATAAAATAATATAACAAGTAATTCAAAAAAATTTCATTCTTTTTAACCACGTATTTTTCCTAAAAATACTATTTCATAATACATTTTACCAAAATTTCTCATTATATTGTGTCAAACAAGGGCTTAATTACAATGTTTAAAAAGCATTTTTTTTTAATAACATATTTGAAGAATTGGAACTTTCATGCACTAATGATTAATTAGCTCTTGTTTGAGCCACATTTTTACCTCATTAAAATGAAAAATATGACCGTTATCCATCACATCAAACCACCATTTTTGAATTTCTATCTCTGATGTGGGGCTCATAACGGCTCTATTTCTCATTCTCATTTTCATTATAATGTGGCTCAAACGGGCTCTTAGTTGATAATTACTTATTAGTAATTAGTTATATAAAGTATAAACTAATTGATTTCGAGTTAGTCATGACACGAATCTTAAAAAAATTTCATTCTTTTTAACCACGTATTTTTCCTAAAAATACTATTTCATAATACATTTTACCAAAATTTCTCATTATATTGTGTCAAACAAGGGCTTAATTACAATGTTTAAAAAGCATTTTTTTTAATAACATATTTGAAGAATTGGAACTTTCATGCACTAATGATTAATTAGCTCTTGTTTGAGCCACATTTTTATCTCATTAAAATAAAAAATATGACCGTTATCCATCACATCAAACCACCATTTTTGAATTTCTATCTCTGATGTGGGGCTCATAACGACTCTATTTCTCATTCTCATTTTCATTATAATGTGGCTCAAACAGGCTCTTAGTTGATAATTACTTATTAGTAATTAGTTATATAAAGTATAAACTAATTGATTTCGAGTTAGTCATGACACGAATCTAAAATAGATTAAATTCATCGACAGATAAAAGCATATTTGAAAGATGTTTATAAATGATTAGATAGAAGTGAGCGTTGAATAGCTTGATAATACTCATGGGTCCCACGAGTATGAATAAGTATATTTTAACTTTTCTTTTTCTAGAATTATCCAATAGCCCATGTCTAAATTTCTGTTCTCCGTGTTTTTCCTTCAAATTTATTTTCAGTCAAACATTTCATAGAGTTTACAACTTTTATCAAATTTTCGGATGATACACTTCACTAATTTTTATCAAAATGTGTCATATCGTTCTCATATTAGGACATGCGAGAGGAGCAAGACAAAACTATGGTGGAGAACTTCTCTAGTCAAGTTAATCTTGGACGTTTGTGGTGTTAAAATCATTCAATCTAGATGATTTTCTAATTTCTAGATTGTATTCACAAGTTACAATATGGACTAGATGCATTGGCTTTTGGCAAGTATTTTCTGTTTTTATGTTCATCACTTATTTTGTTATAAATGGTAAATTGGTTGTTTAAATTTAGTTTTATGAGTTGTAATTTGTTTTCTGTAGATGGAAGATGATCCAGCTCTATTACTGGTGAATTCGGCAGAACATAATCATACTGAGAAATTCAATTTCGTGAAAAAAGATTCTGCTTTGTCCCCGGCAGCAGAGCTGATCTTACCAGTAGCAAAAATATACACGGGATCACAAATGACAAAAGTACAGTTTCTAGCAAAAACCTCGGTCTCAAAAGCAGTCCAAACAATGTTAAGGCTGTCGATAGAGGAAAATGCTCGTTGGAAAGTTGTTCCTTCTCATCATCAACTGCTAGCTTCTGCAGTCAAGAATATGCTAGTACTTGCTATGTAGATAAACCAAGTTCAAGTTCAGTTTCTGTGAATGGAAGGGTTATTGTGAATATTGTCAATGGTGAACATGAACATGAATGGTTATCAATCTCATATTTGTGCAGAGCTCAACGATTGTTTGATGAAGTTTCAATTGAAAACAATGCTAGCAAAGCTATCAAATTCTCTAACTCTAGTTCTGATTCTAGTTTGGCTTCTGTAGTGTCTGACTCACCTGTAGACTTTCGTTCCGTAAGAGATGATATTATTCAGGATGTATTTCCCTCGGTTTTGGGACTTACTGCATCAGAAAGGGAAAACAGGTTGATTTGGTGAGTGTCTCCTCCAATATTTTGTCTAGTAGTTATACTGAGGTCAGCAGGAGTGACGCAAGGAGTAATAGAAGACTGTTTTGGGATGCTTTCTCAAGACGCAGCTCTAGAAGACATACAGATTCCAGAGCCATTGCTCTTTCATCTGATGCTTCTAATGATTTGAGGTCTCCTGACAGATGGCTTCTTGATTTTAGTGGTGATTTCTTTAATGCAGATCTGGCAAAGATTTCGTGGTGGTCTTGATACAAGTGATCATCGAACTGAAGTTCGTCCAAGAAGGGTACATACTAACGGCACATGCTTCTGTGAATCCAGTTCTCTCCAGCTGGAAAGCATTTGCGAAGATGCAGCCATTACAGACGGGAAACACATTGTGTTGAATAACTTCCTTCCAGCCCTTCGGTCCGGGGGGTGGTCTGATATTGGAGGACGGCGAGACATGGAGGACACTCACATTTGTATTCCAGACTTGGCTATGAATTTTGGTAACAGCATACATGGAAAGGAGGCTGTCTCCTTCTATGGTGTAAGTTCTTTAACCTGTATATTTGACATCTGTCTTTTTTGCCTATTTACAACTAAACGATTACTATGTACTTCTAAAAATATTCCCGACGTCATTTGTTGGAAATTATCACTAAAAGAGAGAATTTAAGGCCATTTTGTTCAGATTCATATCTCTTTGCTGTTTGTTCATATGGCAGGTGTTTGATGGACATGGTGGGAAAGGTGCTGCAGAATTTGTACGTGACCACTTACCAAGAATCATTGTCAAGGATGCCGATTTTCCATTGGAACTTGAGAAAGTGGTCCCAAGATCTTTTGTGGAGACTGACACTGCCTTTGCAAGATCTTGCTCGATTGATTCTACTCTGTCCTCTGGCACGACTGCACTCACTGCAATGATATTTGGCCAGTAAACTTCTCCGGTCCTAAATTTCATTTTTTATGATAGCATTTTCTTGGTGTGTGTTGAATTGAAAATCTTGATGTCCAATATTTCACGGTGTACAAATATACAGCATTATAGTTTTGGTCTTGTCATTTCTTCTTATATAATGCATTTGCTGAAAATGTTGACAACTCTAGCTCGGGGTTGAAAGGTTTAGTTATTTTTTGTACCTTATGTTGTGCAATTTTGAACAGATCATTACTTGTAGCAAATGTGGGAGATTGTAGGGCTGTATTATCTCGCTGTGGATTGGCAATAGAGATGTCAAAGGATCACAGACCTTGTTGTGTTAATGAAAGGGCACGTATTGAATCACTTGGGGGATTCATTGATGAAGAAGGATATTTGAACGGGCAGTTAGGTGTGACTCGGGCATTAGGAAACTGGCATATCAAAGGATTGGATGGGGAAAACGTTGGACCATTAATTGCAGAGCCAGAACTTAAATTGATGACCCTAATGAAAGAAGATGAGTTCTTGATAATCGGCAGTGATGGAATTTGGGACGTTTTTAGAAGCCAAAACGCAGTGGACTTTGCTAGGAGGAGACTACAAGAACACAATAATGTGAAATTGTGCTGCAAAGATATTGTAAATGAAGCTAAAAAGCGAGGGGCTACGGACAACTTGACAGTTGTGATGGTTTGCTTTCACTCCGAGCCACCACCTCCTTTCGTGGTGCAGAGACCCAGAGTTCCAAGGTGCATTTCTGCTGAGGGTCTTCAGAACCTTAAATTTCTGCTTGAAGGTTAGGTATTTTTCTCATCATTTTTTATCCTGGGGTGGCCGAATCAGCACCATCTACAGTAATTCTTTTAATGATGATGATGATATTTGGATATTGTCTTAAAGTGTGCTGTAAATAAGTCATATGGTAGACACATTTTTTCCTTTTGAAATGCTTGATTTTCGTGTCAAAGTGGATGAGTTGACACAAAATAAAGCATGAGGCTATGCTGTTGTTACGGTACACAAAAGTATTATTAATATATTTACATTCCTGAAACCTCAACTTCAGAATTTGAACACCCAGAGTAAAGAAGGCATGCTTGTAATAGGCATAGTTAAATACTCATTCTGGGAGCAAGGCCGACCCTAAGATTTTTGGGGGCCTTAGACCAATTTCAAATATGGAACACTATATATATGTAAAAATACATGTAAAATAAAAACCAAATAATTTTTTTTGGGGCCTCACCATAGTGGGGCCTGAAGAGATTGTCTACCTCGCCTGTAGTCAGGCCTGCACTGTCTAGGAAGTGGGAAACCAACTTGAGAATGCAAAGACAGCCGTGGTACTGATCTCATCATTTTTTGGGGAGGCCAAGGATTGTTCATTCCCTCGCTTGTTCCTTGCACTCAAATGTTTCTTTAATTTTGGTCAACCCCTTCACTTCATGGGCAACTCGCTCGCTATTTGTGTTGGGGAAGAACTTTCTCAGAATATGTTTGTCACTACGAAGGGGAGAGGTATACACTATACAGACGTTGGAGCTTCTGTTGTTGCATTATGTGACTGTTTGGCACCTACACATCGATAGTATGGTCATATTATGATATTACTTTTGTGTGCGTGTTAGATCGGATATTTTTTTATGCTAGTGAAAAGCGTGGCCACGAGTGTAAGCAGGTGTCCTCTTTTCCTATATTTTGAATCTAGGAAAGATAATATTTTCATTTTCTTGGACTTTCTCTTGCTAAAAGAAGACCTAATTCACCTAAATTGCCCAACCAGGTCCAGCAGCAAGCTGTAAAATGTATGGTAATGAGTCATTCTTTGATTTCTCCAGAATTTTTAAACTCCAAAGAGATTACGTCACCTCTTCTAAAAGAGGGGACTACTATATCTATTAAATTTATCTACAATACGCCTCTTCACCGATAAGATCAGTCCTTTCTAGTGAATTTGAATTTCGCTAGGTGACTGTTCGGAAAAATTCACCGGTAATACACCTGGATCATCCACATACAAAAAATTAAGTTACAAACTCTTAAAAATCAATTTTTAACGACTCATATAGATATCTCCATATCAATATTTTGACCATAAAACCAGAAAATATTTACCAAATCCAACAAATACACTTGGTCCACGTGTATAACAAAATGTAGAGTTAATTGTTACAAATTGAAATTTGTCCATTGTCACGCTTTCATCACTATTTTGAATTGTTTTCAAATGGTCATTGAACTTACACAAGTTGCACTCCATCGGTCACCCACAAATTTTTCGTTGAACCATACATGTACAGACGAAATCTGATGTGGCATGCTGGAATGAAAATTGCCAAATAAACACTGCGCAAGTATCAAGTCTGAAAGAGTTAATTGTTTTATTACACAATGAACTTTGTCCATCATCACTAATTGTACTTTTGAGTTACTTTCAAATGGTCATTGAACACAAGTAGCACTCCATTCATCACCCACTAAGTTACCATTGCCTTCTTTTTGATTCACAATCTTCTAGCACAGAACAAGTATCTAAATGTAAATCACATTGCCAGAAATCATTTTAATTCTATTCTTGAATACAAGAAAAAGAAATAAATCAAAATACAAGGCATTATACAAATTTAAATGCACAAGTCTACGAAGAAACATTAAAGATTCAAGAATTCACATCACATTCGAGATGTCACTACAAATATAATATAAAAAATAAAATTGTTAAAATTCTTGGGCATTTTCAAAGGATCGTTTTTTATGTTTAAAAAAATAGTGATAACTGTGTGTGACTGAAGATTATGAATATTATACAATTTAAGTTTCGTTGTTTTCAATAGTCAAGAAAATGCATAATAATGAGAACTGACCTGAATTTCAAGAAAATGCATCCGTCCACGTAGGCTTCCCAAGCAATGGTAACTTCGTGGGTGATGGATGGAGTGCAACTTCAGGGACCACTTGAAAACAATTCAAAGTATAGCGAGTAAAGCTTAACGATGGACAAAGTTCATTGTGTAATGAAACTAATAACTCAACAAACGTACGTCTATGTTCCTCATTGTGGGAGTGAGAGGAAGAAGAGACTCTGGAGTTGAAGACAGAGGAGAGGGTGCTTTGATGGTGGGCCCCACCCGAGGAGTTGGGTTATGACTTGGCCTGCCACTGCCCGAACCCATTGGTATCAATCCCTTCCGCTTTAACTGATAAAATTCCAACTCCTGAATGTACTTGGAACCAAATGATCCAAAACAGTTACAACTGCAGATATGTCCGTTGACCTCTCGGTTCCGAACCCTAAAAATAATTGAAGCTAATTAAAGAAAAAGGAAATAAAAAGACCTCTAGCAACTGCAGAAACCAATGAACTGAGAAATATACACCTTAACAACGTAATACAAATAAGCAACTGTATTCACACTTCAGCTTTTGAAGCTCCTTCTCCCATGAATGCACTAAAGCCAAATTTATGCTGAAAGGGAAGGAAACAAACTAACAGAACCTATCGAACTAGTCATGGATGAAGAACTCAAATTAAATCCATACAAAGCTTTCAGCTTAATTAAGACATAAATATTTTTCTCAAATTCCAAAAAATTATGTAGTACACTTTTAAATACCAACAGTACGACAGCAAAAGTAATATCAGATCCAACAAAAGAAATGTAAGAAACGATAAATTAAAAATGGCAATGTCTTTATTCAATAAAAAGTATAACATGAATGATGCTGAAATGAGGAAGTCAATATCGATGTATGGCCACACTAGAACATATAAAATAAGAAATACGAATATAAACCAAGGCAGGCATGGGATATGGCATCTAAAAGGAAAAAATGATTTATGTGTATTCTAGATTTTACAACAGGCTCAATCAATACAAGCTACAAGCTCAATGAAGTACAAATAGTAAATGAAAAATAGCAGTAGAAAAGGTGAATTGTGCTAAAATAAATGTTTCCGACCTATCTCCTGCAAGCTAGTATACAAAATGATTTCCTAATATGACAAAAAAAAAATAATAATAATAATACATGTGAGGATGGAACCCAGACAAGTTCCAGTTTGATGTATAGACTAATACTCTTCCTAATAGTAAAAAATAGCAGCAGCGGAATTTTTATCTCTCATGGATCATCCATTTTTATCCTATCAGCAACGAAAAAGTCGTTCTATAACAAGATGTAAATGTGTGAGCAAAAAGGTCTTGACGAAGTCCATTATTAATGGGTGAGTATGCTGCACCAAAGCCATTTTCCATCATTCAGCTTTTCTTTAACCTCCTTTTTCACAACATGAATCAACAGGAACCCCGCAAAGGATATTGAAATAATAAGCATGAAAAATACACTGTTCCATCCTCTAGTAGAAATATATCCAACCAAAAGAGGTCCAAGAGCAGCACCTACAGAACCAGTACCATCTATAATTGCAGTGACAGTAGCTAATGCACGAGAATTTCCTTTTATCAAGGTCTTTGTACCAAGATCAGTTGCAACTGCAGTGGTAATTAGGGAATACGGTCCATTTACCAGTAAACCAGAAGCAAACATTAATGCAATATTGACGAACATTGACACACTGCCATATATTCGATACAAAAGAAGAGCTGGAATTGAGAGAAACAAAAATATAACTGAAGTGACAGCTCGAGCATCAATCATATCGGATATGAATCCTGCCAAAATCCCACCGAAGACTCCTCCAATATCGAAAATTGTTGAGAGGATCCCAGCAGTTTTATGTGACAGATGCACACCTGCAACAGCTACAAATACAACAAACACAGAAGAATGATAAGTAACTAATATCCACACCAACCAAAGGAACATAAAACACTATCATGCAGATTAAGACAGACACACGGGCATTTTGCTCCATATACATGTGGGCATAGACAACCATAGTAATGAAAGGAGTGCATTATGCAAGCCATTTGTGCAACTATAAATTTATTAGGCTATTCATAGTTCCTGAAACCTGAGAATTGGTCCTTCGACAGTCGTTCTGATAATTTTAAACTTCAAGTTTCTATTCTCTTCCCAGTAAAGTGCCATGTAAATTACAGTTGAACCATAAAATTAAAATGTAGATCCATGCCATTTCACTCCGAGACACATGAAGCCAAGATGAATTTTACATAATCTAAATAGGTGATCTCATTTGTTGCCGTCCAAGTATAAATTAGTTCCTAATTGGATCAAAAACCCAAATTCGAAATCTACAACCAATGAAAAAAAGAAAAAAAGAATAACTACCAGTATGTCTTATGTAGAACGGCAGCCAATATAAAAATGTATATGCCACGAGCTTAGAGAAGAACAAGCAGAATGCAAAAGATGCCACGTCAGGTAACCTCCATGCCTCAAGGAATCCTATGGCAACTGAACTCTCCACATCCTCATATTCCATTGATTCCTCTGTATCATTTATTTCTGAATCCACTAGAGCCACTCCTTCAACACTCATCTCAACCTCCTCCCCTGATAACTCAAACCCAATGTTTTCTGGATTCACGACAAGAAACAAGTAAATAAGAAAAGCCACCATCACAATGAAAATACCAGGCAGCATAAAGGACCATCCCCATCCAAACCCCAATACCGAGGAAGCAATTAGAGACCCCATGATGTTTCCCACGGAGGTATGAGAATTCCATACCCCCATGATCAACCCTCGTTTCGCCTTCTCAAACCAGTTGCCCACCACTGCCACCACGCAAGGCCACCCCACAGACTGAAACAACCCACACAGAACCTGTATGGTAACATAAAACCAGAGAGAATGCAAATCAAGAAAATACCCCAACCCAAAAAATATTACAAAAATGCCACTACCCAGCATCCCGATTGTCAAGAAAATCCTCAAATCAATGGTATCACCTATGTGGCCAGAGAAATACATGCCGATGGAATAGGCCAATAGAAACGAGAGATCAAGCTCCCCAAGACGGTGAGGTCCATCAGGTCCATTGAACGGTGCCCATCCTGTGTCGTTCTGAAGTGGATTTCTGGAGAACTGAAATGAACCCTTATCAGAATTTGATGCCGTGGTACCATTGCTTATGGTGGCATTGAGGAATTCGGGGGTGGGAGAGGTGAGCACAGATTTAACAATGCTGGGGGGTTTACGAGAGGCATGGAAGGCCGCGTAGGCGGTGAAGGTCAGAATAAGTACTAGGAATCGGTGAAATTTGAGGGTCTTGTTTGGAGGGTTGAGGCACGGGAAGATCAGCCCAGGTGGTGGATCTAGGGTTAGGGTTTTGAGTTGCATCATTTCACAATCGTGATGTACAATAGAATGTGTGGATTGGATCTATATAAGTAAAAACTATGAGTGAATGATATTTACAGAGATTGAATATACAAAAGAAGAAGACGGTGGGATCGATCAGGGACAAGAGGGATCTGGGGTTTTATTTGTCTGAATATTTTTTTCCTTCTTTCTTCCCCCCTTCTCAGAGACTACTGGTCAAACTTTTCATTAGGGGGTTGTTTGGCAACCCATTAAAATTTTAATACATCTTTCTCTCTTTTTCCAATTATATATTTTTTCAATAAAATAATATAACAAGTAATT